CTAAAGGAAGAAATTGAGATGCAGCAGATCAAGACAGATGACCAAGTGGCAGACTTGTTTACAAAAGGGTTGAATACTAGCAAACATGAGAGCTTTCGCTGTCAGCTCAACATGATGCAGCGAATGAGGACTAGTGCTGAGGGGGAGTGTTGAAATATCATCACTAGCCCAATAGAGTCAAGCCCAATAATTGTACTAGCCCAATAGAGTCAAGCCTAATTGTACGAGCCCAGTATATTTATTTTAGTAGAGATTTTAGGAGAAAGAGATGTAGATATTTTAGGAGAAAGATTCAATTTGTTAGGTCTAGATTCAAATCGGTTAGGTCTAGATTTAGATTGGTTAAATATAGATTGTTTACTCTTAGTATAAATACCCCCACCCTACCTAGGTTATTCATCCAAGAAATCTAAAAACAATAAAAAGCAGAAGTATTCTACAGAGTGTCTTGTATTCTCTTCTCGATTGGTCTTAATAAAGAGAGCGAGTGTTTCCCACAGTGAGTTGTGTTCAACATACCTCCCTGAAGAGCTCGGTTTGCTTGGGGATCTTGCATTGTTCCATATCAACTCAAACAGATTCTGCGGTACTTTACCCCACAGATTTGATCGTCTCAAGTTGCTACACGAATTGGATCTCAGTAATAACCGGTTCGCTGGGAAGTTCCCCGGCGTGGTTCTCAAGCTTCCGGCGCTCAAGTTTTTGGATCTGAGGTTTAACGAATTCGAAGGAAATGTACCCAGAGAGCTGTTCGATAAGGATTTAGACGCCATTTTTATTAACCACAACAGATTCAGATTCGAACTGCCGGATAATTTCGGAAATTCGCCGGTGTCGGTCATTGTTCTTGGGAACAATAAGTTCCATGGGTGTGTGCCTTCGAGCTTGGGCAACATGACGAGGCTGAATGAGATCATTATGATGAACAATGGGCTTAATTCTTGCTTGCCGCCAGAAATTGGGGCGTTGAAGAACTTGACGGTGTTCGATGTAAGTTCCAATGAGCTGGTGGGTCCGTTGCCGGAGACATTTGGAGGGCTTGCGAGTTTGGAGCAACTCAATGTGGCTAATAATTTTCTTTCTGGGACGATTCCGGAGAGTATTTGTGATTTGCCTAAGCTTCAGAACTTTACGTTCTCGAATAACTTCTTCTCCGGTGAGCCGCAGACGTGTTTGAGGGTTCCGGATTTCAGTGATCGGAGGAATTGCTTGACTGGACGGCCGGCGCAGCGGCCGAGTGGGCAATGTAAGGCATTCTTTTCGAGGCATGTTGATTGTAATGCGTTTAAATGCGGTGCTTCTTCTGTTTCGCCTTCTACTCCATTTACTCCGCCGGTGGTTTCGCCCTCTTCACCTCCGTCACCGGCAGGGGAGGTGTCTCCTCCATCGCCGCCGCTCTCGCCCCATTTTCCTCCTCTGTCGCCACATTCGCCACCGTCGGCACCGCCATTGGTTTATTCTCCGCCGTCACCTTCCTCTCCGTCTACACCTACAACCCCTTCAACGCCATCTCAAGGTCATGCTCCGCCGTCATTACCCTCACCCTCATCGCCCCCTAAAGGTCAGTTTCCGCCGGCATTACCTCCGCCGACTGATCCCTTACCATCCTCACCACCCCACGGCCATACTCCGCCGGGTCCACCTTCGCCTTCCTCTCCGTCTACACCCACAACCCCTTCAACGCCGCCTCAAGATCATGCTCCGCCGTCATTACCCTCACCCTTCTCGCCCCCAAAAGGTCATCCACCGCCGGCATTACTTCCGCCGTCTGAACCCTTACCATCTTCACCACCCCACGGCCATACTCCNCCGGGACCACCGTCGCCTTCCTCTTCGTCTACGCCTACAACCCCTTCAACGCCGCCTCAAGGTCATGCTCCACCGTCTTTACCCTCACCCTTATCGCCCCCAAAAGGTCATCCTCCGCCGGCATTACCTCCGCCGTCTGAGCCCTTACCATCCTCACCACCCCACGGCCATACTCCTCCGGGTCCACCTTCTTCGTCCGAACCTTCGCCATCATCGCCGCCACAAGATCACCCTCCACCAACTCCCTCGCCGTCCGAACCGTCACCTTCAACGCCGCCCATAGGTCACACTCCAGCCATTCCTCCTTCACCATCCGGACCTGCACCTCCATCACCGCCACAAGTCCACAATCCGCCGGTCAAGCCTTCTCCTCCAGTNGCATCATCACCACCAGCACCATCATTCCCAGTTCACACTCCTCCGCCTCCGCCACATTTCCCTGATTTCCCTTCGCCACCATCCACACAACTCCCTGTCTACTGTCCACGATCCCCATATCCACCATCTCCTCCATCCTACTCCCCAAGCCCACCTCTCCAACACCCCACCTCCCCTCCGCCGCCATTACCTGTTCATTCTCCCCCTCCCCCTGTTTATACATCCCCGTCGCCACTTCCTCTTCCTTGCATACAATCTCCTCCACCTCCCCCACCAGATACTCAATACTCCGAACCACCGCCAACACCATCGTCTCCGATTCCCTACAATTTCCCACCACCGCCGTCTCCATCGCCCCCACCGCCTCCAAGCCCTGTATACGGAGGTCCCCTGCCACCAATCTACGGAGTCCCATACGCGTCTCCTCCGCCACCACCCTTGTATTAATTAATTCGTCACAAAAATCCCACCTGCAATTTCCCTTTTTGAGCTTCAATCTGGTCAATTCTTCTCCCAACTCCCATCGCCCACGGAGAAGCTCAAGTGTTTGTCTTCTATATTTGGTTTTTACATCCGCGTGAATCTTGTTTTAGTCTGTATAAATTCAACAAAACCTCCCCTTCTCTTCTTTTGGTTTTTGAGTTCTACTTTTATTTCTATTATCATCTTAATCTAAATCTATATCATATTTAGTATTCCTTTTGGGTTTCCTATACATTTTGTTCCTGTTACATCTTTCATTTTTGCTTCCAAATTTCATGGAAATTAACTTTTTCAACATTTTGAAATTTTTGTTTATTAAAAAAATGGCTGAATCTAGTAGGACCCAGTGTAGGCAGACCACTGATCCCCAGTAACATGGACCTCAATCTCAATGGTCCCATCTTAAATTCACCCAACCCCTATTTTATTATTATAATTATTTTCATTTTGGTTAAATCACTAAAATAGTTGACATGGTAATTAATTAACGTGTATACATGATAAATTATGTTATCGTAATAAATTGAATTATTTGATAATGACAATAATAATAAACAAGGACAAGATTATATACTTATGTCACCCGTTTCAATAGGAGTAAAGATGTATCTAATAAATAATAGAGATAAAATCATATATTTATGTCACTGTTTCATCAAAAACATATCAAATAACATGTCATAATGTGATACCATTAAATACGACATAATAAATGGTTGATATGCGCACCTACTGCATCCTGCCTAAATAAATTGTAGAAATTAATGAATTATTCCCAAGTTTTATTGGACAATACACAATTCGTCTATATTTTTCTAATTATTTAACCGTATCTATTTCTTAGTTTCCAGAACCTGCCCAAATCCAAACCTTCATCAACACTGCTAAATTATTGTTTTTATTTTTATTTTTATTAAAAACAAAATTAAAACCACCCAAATTTATGCTAATATTCTCGGTTCGGGAGTATATGGGCCCGTTTCATTCTGTATTTGGGCCTTTCCCTGCCACGAATTCTGGTGAATATGGGCCTTTATTTTGCCGGTAGTGGATAAGCTTGATCCATAATTAATTAAAATTGTCACACCATTTAAATATGCATATTAAATTTAGTATTATAGTAGAGTTTACAGCATGCATATGCATAAGTAAGATAATTGCTGACATAAAATTAGGTCAAGAAAGTGAAAAAAGAAAAAAAAAACCTCCATAATTCCATTATTTCGGACCACAAGTTTAATTTTCTTTCATTAATATTAAAGCCAACATTTATTAATTATACCATTAAAACCTTAGAAAATTTGTTCTGACAATTATTTTTTCTACATTTTTCTTTCAAATGTACGATAAAATTTAATAAATGCTATTTTTTTTATTTATAAAACTCGTGATTTAGATGAAGAAAAAAAAAAGATTTATAACATTTTGAAGGCCTTTTTTCCAACTCGGCGTTCTCATATTTTTTCTGCATTCCAAAACTCACGTGAGTCGCACGTGCATAATGTGATTCCTCTCCTTCAGTGCCTCTGCTCTTTCTTCTCAACTAAATTTCCAAAACTATTCCATCTCACATGTTTCTCACGTGACTTAGAAGAAGAGGGCCAATTTTAAAATATAATCGATCAAATTTATTTTAAACACAATTTAATTCCAATTTTATTATATTTTTTTGGATAATGGTAAAAAACCAATAGTTGTTGCAGAGCTGAAGTAAGATCGATTACACTCACACAATCACTAATATAAATGAACAAAGTGATACTAAGGTTTGAATAAGTTCACTAGTCAATCACTATAACCAAAATATTTAAAAGAATATCTCTTATACTCTCACCCAATAACTTATCTCTTATAAAATTTCTCTAGAATTGCTTCTAAACAAACACAAAATAATAATGGCTCTGCGTCTCATAATGCATTAGTATTATTAATGCTCATACACGAATCAAATAATACAGGGATATGAACTCGAGCCTCAAATTATTGTAGCCCAAACTGTCTCGTCTGCCTCAAATTATTGTAGCCCAAAATGTCTCGTCACCCGCAGGCGTGCGGTGGCCAGAGCCTTAGCTTTTTCCCTCCTTCCTGCTCTAACGGTTATCTTCACCTCCAACATTCATTTTATTTCCTGCTACAAGTATCCACTTGTTTACTTTTTCAAAATTGTTTACAATAATTTACAAGTAGAAACTATTTTTTAATTTTAAATCTTGGGTTGAATTATGAGCCTCAAAATTTTACAGTTTGGTTCATTTATTGAGGTTGGTTACCACTTAGCAGCAACCCAAAGCCATTATTTTAGCATTATAATTTACTCTCATTTTGGTCACCAAATGCTTCTTTATATATTCTGTGTCCCTCTCCCTGCTCTTATTAATTATGATATTCACTTTATTTGTGGTAGATTTTAGTGCCTTCTGATGGGGAAGCTGAAGAAAATTGCGAAGGCTTTGGATTGTTTCAGTCCCACATCGTCTACTTCCATCGCTCGTTTTGACAAAGACCCGCTTATCGCCAGCAGCAACAAGGGCCAACTCCCGACATTGGAGGACGCTGTGGTCCAATTTTGTGTCCACTTCCCCTTTCTTCCTTAGTCCCACAGATCCGTAACTATTTTGGTTTGGTTTTGCAGACGGTGACGCTCAGGGTGTCCATGCACTGTAAAGGCTGTGCAAGAAAAGTGGAGAAACATATTTCAAAGATGGAAGGTATCATACCATATCCTATAACCCTTTTTTTTTTTTTTTTTTGAAGATTTGTTTTGGGAAATGAACGCAGGAGTGAGGTCGTTCACTGTAGACTTGGAGACTAAGATGGTGATTGTAATTGGATACATTCTGCCGTATGAAGTGGTGGAGAGCGTTTCTAAAGTCAAAAGCTCGCAGCTTTGGCAATCCTCGCTAGCTTGATCATTATTGGCATATCAACAAATTAATAATTTTATGTCTTTAATTTCTTTATTCTATATGTCGTTTATAGGAATATGAGTATTTATACACGTCAACTCAAATATTAAAATAACTTATAAGATTGAATTTCGCTACTAATTGATATTGTCATTTTTTGTCTTTCTATTTCGGGCTTTCTCTCAAAGTTTAAAAACATGTATTTGGATCACATGTATTGCTCCACACTCTTATAAATGATTTGTTCCCCTCTCCGATACATGTGGTATCAAAACCACCTATAGATGTGGTATCAGAGCCAAACACTGGGCAGTATGCGAGAGGATGCTGTTCTCCGAAGGGAGAGGACTCAGAGCGATACCAACGAAGACACTGAGACACTAGGCGGTGTGCAAGAGGATGCTGATTCCTGAAGGGAATGGATATAAAGCGATACCAACAAGGACACTAGCTTGGACATTTTTTTATGAATGCGTGGAAACATCTCACAGACCCGTTTAAAAATCTTAAGAAAAACTCAAATAACACAATATATGTCTGCGATGGGTTTAGATCGTTGCATAGCCGAACGTTAAAGTCAATGTAAAAAGAATCAAGTTTAATTAATAGACTAAAATAAAATAAATTAAAAAAATTATACCTAGAAGATAATTTAACGATAACTAAAATAAAATAAAAAAAATTTGAAAATAAATGTTGCAATTTGTTTAGATAACGAGAGAAATATCTTGTATGAAAATAATTGAATATAAATATTCAATGCCACGACGTCGTTTAACAGGTCAAAGTTTTTCATCGCCATCGGGATATCGTTTGTGGAAGAGAGAACAGTGACGTATCCATCACGACTGGTCAATAACTCGGAAGAAGAAGAAAGAAAGAAAAATCTCAGAAATGTGTAAAATCTGAAACAACATTTGGTTTGATTCCGAGGACGATCGGAACTACAAGAAGTTCGCCATGAAATCCATCTTCGTTCTTTTCCTCTTCTCAGCTCTCGTTTCTCTTTCGACCCAATCCACCGATTCGAATGACCTAAAAGCGCCACCCTCCTCTGCCCACGCTCGCCTCGCCAATTACGGGTTTCCGTTTGGCCTTCTGCCGTCCGCCGTCTCCAGCTACACCATCAATGAAACCTCTGGTGACTTCTCTTTGGACCTCGGCGACTCGTGCAAGTTCACGCTTCCACCGGACAACTACGTGGCTTCTTTTTCTAGGGTTGTCACTGGTAAGATTGCAAAGGGTCGAATCCACAATCTCGACGGGATTCGAGTTCGTGCTTTGTTCCAGTGGTGGTCGATTACTGGTATTAGGTCCACCGGCGAGGATTTGGTCTTCGAGGTTGGGGTGATCACCGCTAAGTATCCGTCCAAGAGTTTCAACGAGAGCCCAGTGTGTGAAGGGCGTCGGTCTTCTTCGTAAGAGGTTCGGGTTTCTTCAATATTCTGCTCTCTGCATCTTTTACGGCGAATTCCACTGTTAGAATTAAAAATTTAGGAGTAACTCTGGATTGGATAGGGATAGGTACATGTGAATGAGACTTTTTATCTAATTTTGATAACTGCTCTGTGATTGTGGCGTTGAAAGCATTGTCTCTGGATTAAGTTCTGCAGAAACGGGACGATGATATTGGTTTATAATGTCTTCCTTTTTAACTGGATTGGATTCTAGTTATCTTGATTCACGAATTCTGAACAGAATCTGTATTTTCCTTCCATATTCATATCGTTCCCAATTCAAGGTTTTCTTGATTACACCTTGACTAATTTGAGACGTTAAATATATAATCTTTTCTGCTAAGAATCCCAGAATTTATAATGATATAAAAAAGAAAAAATCATAGTTTCCAGACGTTGCTGAATGGAAACTTTCTCCTTGTGTAACATCTGCTGGATCACCTTGTAAATATATTAATTATTGGCAGCTGGCTAGTTTTGGCAATAATTTTTAAGCGTTGAAGTAACCGGATGGCCTTTGTTGAATCGTCTTCATTGATGAATAGGATTTTTATCTATTTTTGGATCTAACAACTTGGCGTTCTGTGGTTGAAAAGGTGATGGCGTTGCAATTTGGATTCTGAAAAGGAGGGAGTTTAACAAGAACAGAAGCCATTAAGGACAACCATACAATGACAAAACCTGTCTTATTATAAGATATTAAGGCATCGGTGATGTAGGCGATTTTGTTGCACATTAGGCCAAAAAATATGTCCAACCCAGAGGGCTAGCTAGCAAAATCCATTTTTGACTATCAAAATCCATTCTTGACTATGAAGTTGTGAGATCTCACATCCGTTGGAGAGGGGGAAGCATTCCTTATAAGGGTGTGGAAACCTCTCCCTAGCAGCGCGTTTTAAAACTGTGAGGCTGACAACGATATGTAACGGGTCAAAATGGACAATATCGGCTAGCAGTGGGGTTGGGCTGTTACAAATGGTATCAGAGCCAGTCATCTAGGCGGAGTGCTAGCGAGAATGCTGGACCCCCAAGGGGATGGATTGTGAGATCTCACATCGGTTGGAGACCTTATAAGGGTGTGAAAACCTCTATTTAGCATATGCGTTTTAAAACTGCAAGGCTGATGGTAATATGTAATAAGCCAAAGCAGATAATAACAGCTAGCGATGGGGTTGGACTGTTATAGAAGTATTTATTATTATGAATAGGACCTTGTCACCTGTGGATTTCAAATGACGTTTGCGTTTGCTAATAAGCTGAAATAATCGAAGACCTATAGACATAGAACAAACAGAAAGATGATGACGTTTGCGTTTGCTAATAAGCTGAAATAATCGAAGACCTATAGACATAGAACAAACAGAAAGATGATGCTTAGGTCAGGGGAAAAAAGATTGAGCTAGAGAGAGCGATGGAATAGGAAGTTGAATGTAGAAGTAGTTATATGGTTCTAGACTTTAAAACTACTATTCCTTAAGATCTATTTGGTTGGACAAAGAAAAAAACACCATTAGAAGTGTTGGATGATGAAAGTCCCACATCGGCTAATTTAGGGAATGATCATGGATTTATAAGTGAGGAATACTAACTCCATTGGTATGAGGCCTTTTGGGGAAGCCAAAGCAAAGCCATGGGAGCTTAGGCTCAAAGTGGACAATATCATACCATTGTGGAGAGTCGTGTTCGTCTAACATGGTATCAGAGCCATGCCCTAAACTTAGTCGTGCCAATAGATTGGTAAATTCTCAAACATCGAACAAAGAACTCCAAAAGAAAGCCTTCTCGAAGGCAGTAAAAAATGACTAAGACTCCAAAGGAGTCGAGTCTCGATTAAGGGGAGGCGCACTTTGTTGGAAGGCAGTAAAAAATGACTAAGAGTCGAGCCTCGATTAAGGGGAGGTGCACTTTGTTCGAGGGGAAGTGTTGGATGATGAAAGTCTTACATCGGCTAATTTAGGGAATGATCATGGGTTTATAAGTGAGGAATACTAACTCCATTGGTATGAGGCCTTTTGGAAGCCCAAAGCGAAGCCATGAGAGTTTAGGCTAAAAGTGGACAGTATCATACCATTGTGGAGAGTCGTGTTCGTCTAACAAAAAGAACCATCCCCGAAGTTGAATGGTCTGATACTCAGATGCATGAAGTTTATACTCTGATCTTTCTGCGTCATCACAAGATCTTTGATAGAAGAAAGAAAAGTAGAGGATGCGAATAGTTTTAATTTGCTTGCATTGCAGGCATATAACATAGATTCTTTTCTGAATGCACATTGTCATTCTCAGGTTCTAGAAAAGCTATCTTTTAGTCTCCAATATACCTTTTACCAAAGAACCTTTTAGCTGGAGTCGTGTTTCTTTAATGTATTTGGCCGGCCATGCTGTGATCTTTAGCCATCTTCATTGTGCTCATAACAAAACGAGCGAATTCTCGTTTGTCTGGTTCTTGATTTCTTTGCAAAAAAGCAGATTCCTCAACTTTGTTTCATATCTAATTAGCTTGACTTGTTAAAGTGCAGAATATATAATAGGATCTGTAATTTAATTGGTATTTTGTTTTTGTGCAGGGTATTCATTCACTTGAAGCAATGGATGAACTTAGTGGATAATGCATATCATATTATGTTGGCTCTTTAAACTGAAATGTGAACCTACTAATTATTCTGGCTGTGTATCTGCCTTTTCTCTGTATATGTTAACTCTTGCTTCTTCTAGTTCTGGATTGATACTCTCTTTTGATTGATAAGGTTTGTTCAGTGCTTGATAAGGAGCTGATCAATATTCTATCTCGATCTCAGTTAATATTTATATCAGCCAAAGCCTAAGTCTATCGTTAGTAGATATTATCCACTTTGACCCGTATTATCATCAGTCTTACAATTTTAAAACGTGTCTATTAGGAAAAGATTTTACACTTTTATAAATAATACTTTGTTCTCCTCCAAATCCCAAAATATATAGTGTGACTCTGGTATGCATGCGCCTTTCTTTTTCAGTTTCCATCACACATGACAAGACTCGACACAACCCAATCCAGTCCTCTCCTCTCATTACCCAATCCATTCCCCTTCCTCTGATTTTAATTTTGTTTAGCATCGATTCCCAAGAAGAAACCCATAATTACTTCTTCTAAATATTACCGAAAAGATGTCCTCATTTCAGATTGCCTTGTTGTCTGTTCTTCACCACTTTTATCAACCAATCATGCCCCTACCTCCTTTCCACCAAACTATCTACCCTTTTAACCCCCTTACACCTTCTTTTTGTCTTGTATTATGATAAAAACAAAACAAACCTAATAATTGGAACCAAATGAAAGTGGGGTGGAACATAAAACATAAATGGGTTCATTTCATTTGGTCGATTTAAAGTGAGAATACTTTTGGATTTAGGGGATTTTTATTCTTCCCCATCCGCCCACTGATTTTTCTAAGTTCACACCTAAATCAACCAAAAAGCCAAGAAATTGAAGACGACGGTTACTGTAAATGCCAAGCCAAGTCTTCTTTCTATGGCTAAAAAAATTTAAGTTGTGAATGTTTGATTAATCCACCACACCACCTAAATGGTGTGAAAGTTATCTTATTTATAATCAAATGAATTACAAGGATATGGAAATAGTAATAAATGGAAATAACA